CGAGGTGTCAAGGAAAATAACCTATACTACTTGAAGGGCAGGACAGTTACAGGGGGTCTGGCAGCTTCTATCACTACAGAGGAAGACACTACCACTTTATGGCACATGAGACTTGGACACACAGGTGATAAGTCTCTACAGTTATTGGAGAAACAAGTGCTATTAAAAGGTACTAATACCTGCAAGATGGAGCTGTGTGAGCATTGTGTATTTGGAAAGAAGACTAGAGTGAAGTTTGGCATCGCTGTTCACAACACCCGAGGTACATTGGATTACATTCACACAACTGTTTGGGGCCCTTCTAAGAACATATCTCTTAGTGGGGCCAACTATTTTGTCACTTTTATTTATGACTATTCCAGGAGAAATTGGGTATACCCTATGAAGCATAAACATCAGGTCCTGGGTATTTTTGTGGAGTGGAAGAAGAAAGTGGAGCTGCAGACATGTAAAAAGGTAAAGACTCTACGTTCAGATAATGGTGAAGAGTACAAGAGTGATCCGTTTCTGTAGTTTTGTCGGGATAACGGCATTAGAAGACACTTCACAGTTCGAGAGATACCACAATAGAACGGGTTGGCTGAGAGATTAAACCGTACCTTGCTGGAGAAGGTACAATATATGATGACACAGAGTGGATTGCCTAGATCCTTTTGGGCCGAGGCGTTGGTTTATGCGAGCTATCTCGTGAATAGGTTGCCGTGCACTGATAGACGGGAAGACTCCTTTGGAGCGTTGGTTTAGTTCGGTGGCTAGTGACTATGAGTCGCTTCGGATATTTGGGTGTCCAGCTTATTACCATGTCAGTGAGGGTAAATTAAATTCGAGAGCGAGAAAATCAGTCTTTGTGGGATTTAGAGATGGAGTCAAAGGTTTCAAGTTATGGGATCCACAGGATAAGAAGATAGTTATTAGCAGAGATGCCACATTTGATGAGGCGTACATGATGATGCCTCGAGTCCCTCAGCAGGTAGAGGGAGACCAGATAAGAGAGATATCGCAGCAGGTGGAGGATGATGTGACTCCACCCACTCCAGAGAGCATTGTATACATCGAGGCTCCTACAGAGGTGACACTGGGAGGAGATGAGATGATAGCCAGGCAGATAGAGGATACAGTGGATTATAGGACTCAAGAACAGGGCCATGTTCAGAGGTCCAATGCAGCAGATAGACCGAGGAGAGTAATTTGTCGGCCAGCTAGGTATAATGATGTCATGGTCGCATATGCATTATCAGTGAAGGTCGTTGATGATATGATTCCATCCACATTTAGGGAGGTTGAGTCTAGCCCCGATTCGATTAGGTGGAGGGAAGCTATGGAGGAGGAGATGCAGTCTCTTCAGAAGAACAACACTTGGACACTTGCACATCTACCTAAGGGTAAGAGAGCTATAGGTTGCAAGTGGGTATATGCGAAGAAGGAGGGATCTTCTATTAGGGACATTCGGTTTAAAGCCAGATTGGTTGCCAAGGGATATACACCCCTTGAGGGCATTGACTACAATGAGCTATTTTCACCCGTTGTGAAGCATTCGTCGATACAGATTTTATTAGCATTGATGGCACAGTTGGATTTGGATTTGGTCTAGATGGATATAAAGACAGCCTTTCTACACGATGATTTAGATGAGGAGATCTACATGACATAACCTTTGAGATTCAAAGCTACAGGAAAAGAAGATTTGGTTTGTAAGCTGAAGAAGTCTCTTTATGGTTTGAAGCAATCACCGAGACAGTGGTATAAGAGATTTGACAACTTTATGATTGGCCATGGGTACACGAGGAGTCTATATGACCCATGTGTTTATATCCACAAGCTACAAGATATGGAGCACATATATTTGCTTTTATATATTGACGATATGCTTATTGCTTCCAGGAATTCTTTTACTATTCAAAAGTTAAAAGAGGAGCTGTCATCCGAGTTCGAGATGAAGGATCTTGGAGAGGCAAAGAAGATATTGGGTATGAAGATCGAGAGATACATGGTGAATGGGAGTTTGAAACTTACACATAAAAGTTACTTGCAGAAGATGTTAAAGAAATTTAGCTTTGATGGTAATACAAAATCAGTTAGCACACCATTGGCTCCCCACTTCAAGCTTTCAGCGTTGATGTCACATGTTTCAGTTGAGGATAGAAATTACATGTCGAAAGTCCCATATAACAGTGTAGTAGGTAGCTTGATGTATGCGATGGTGTGTACGAGGCCAGATTTGTCATAGGCCGTGAGCATAGTATCAAGATACATGCACGACCCCGGGAAGAGTCATTGGGAGGCCGTGAAGTGGATTCTACGGTATGTTCGAGGCACCGTTGATGTTAGTTTAGTATTCCAGAAGGATAAGAAGAATGGACAGGATTGTATTGGATATGTGGATTCAGATTATGCTAGAGATCTTGACAAGCGTCGGTCTACTTCAGGTTATGTTTTACATTGGCAGGTGTACCTGTTGGCGATGCACGCTTCAATCCACATTGGCTCTCTCTACTATGGAGGCAGAGTATATGGTAGTAACTGAAGCTATTAAGGAGGCTTTATGGTTGTTTGGATTATTGGAGGACTTGGGAATCGCACAGGAGACCATTCGGGTATATTATGATAGCATGCCGACTATCTATTTGGCGAAGAACCAGGTTTATCATGCGCGCACGAAGCACATCGATGTCAGATTCCACTTTGTTCATGACGTTTTGGATGATGGAGACGTCATATTAGAGAAAGTCCACACGAACGACAACTCTGCAGATATGTTGACCAAAGTTATTTTAGGAGTAAAATGTTATCATTGTTTGAAGCTTTTGAATATTCTTCAGTGTTGAGGCCTTTGGAGGCCATTTGGGTGAACTATGTTCGGCTTGATTCCTTGGGTAAGAGGTACATAGGCAGTTTTTCAGATGCAGCCGATTTGATCTGTTGATTCAGATGGGGGGAGATTATATTTCGGCTCTAGTTTGGTTCCCGGACTTGTTGAGGGACTACTGGATGATTTGGTGTCGGCTCAGTTTTGGTAGAAACATTCGTCGATGTGAAGAATTGAAGAAATAGAGAGAGAGAGTACAGGAAATCAGAAGAAGATTCAGCTAGGAAGACTGGTGATCGACCGCGAGTCAGCGGCGGTCGATCGCGAACGTGCACAAAGGCCACTAGGACTTGGAGCTGAAGGCGGTCGACTGTGACGATCGACCGCGAGGACCCTTTTGGTGATTTTTGGTCTCGGGATGAGATTCGGTTGACCGTCGCGGTCGACCGCGCCATGACTGTAATCGATTCTGCTCTCGGGTGTTTGGTTCGGTCGACCGTCACGGTCGACTGCGATACCTACGCGGTCGACCACAGACTGATTTTGGGCTGGGCCTTGGTTTTTGACCCGATTCGTTTCTGAGTTGATATATAACCCTAAACCTGATTAATTAGGGTTAAGTAAGGACGATTTTGAGCACTCTTTTGGAGAGAATTACTGTATCCAATTGTGGGAGATTTGTGAGAGATCTAGAGCTTTGTTTTAGGGTTTGATCGGTGGGATTTGTAACTCTATTTGTATTCTCTTAATTTCTAATAGTAAGAACTCCCCCCTCCTTGCCCCGTGGACGTATGCAACTTGCTGAACCACGTTAAACTCGTTGTCTTGCTGTGGTATTGTGTTTGGCTTATTAGTTGTGATTTATCTCTTGGATTGTTCGTGTTGTTCCGAGAAGCTTCCGCCGCGCACAACATGAAAAGAAGCCAGTTTCCTAAAATGGACAGATTGGAAGGGGAGGGATTGAATTTTAAATGATATTTTCTTAAAATTCCAAGATTATCCTGAGATTTCAGTCATATTTATTTTATGCAGTTTCCCTCCCTCCCTAGACCCCTCTCTTCCCCTAGTTGTCTATCCAAACACAATTAGTTTCATCACATCCCTTTCCTTTCCACTCTATCCCTTTGTGATTAATGCAATCATTCCCCTCCCCTACTCTCTTTTGTATCCAAACATAGTAGCTAGTATGATATCTGTTTGATTGTTTGTAAGTGACTTTACATCAAAATGAAGACGGCTGACTTAGTTAACGAAACTGCTATGTACTTCAGATTAATAAGAAATAACAAATATGCAGATAATATTCCATCACTAAGATATGGCCCTTTGTTCTTAGGCAAGTCAATTACCCTACATCGACCCTTGTTTGAGCTTTTAGTGCTCAAGTCTTTCTATGAACTCGTCTGTCACACATTCTAAATTAATTGGTATGTTTATATCATGGACATTGTCTTATTGCTTGAATATTTTCTTAATGGTTGAGAATGTTGTGAGTTTTGTGTGTGATTTGGTTTTTGGGTGTTTGGTAATGTGTTTATTTAAATGGTTATTTATATAACCGTTATAGCAGATATTTTTATATCATGGGATTTTTGTATTTGTATCATGGTTATGGGTTATTTCTAGAATTTTTGTTTTATAATTGAGAACATTATTACTTGGATATATGTATATATTTTTTCTAATATGTATATATTTGTCCTAGTGGTTATGTTTTATATCATGAGTATTTGATCATTTCTTCAGTTTTGTTCTATGATTAATAATGTCATTACTTGAATTAATGTATATATTCTTGTGGGTATGTCTAATTCATGAGTATTGTCCTGATGATTGTAAGTGCTTTGCTTTATAATTGAGAATGTTATGCATTTTCTGGAGAGTAAATTTCACAAAAGTTTTATGAATTTTGTGGAAATTTGCACAAAGGTATCGCAAACGATGTTTCATTAGTAAACATATCATGGACTTGTAAAACTACAGTAATATATCATGAAAATTTTCTTTTAGAATTCAGGATTACTAACTACTACTATACTACTGTCTAAGAAGCATTATTAATTAAGGACTTCACGTGACACAGTGATTTCACATTTCTACAGAATTTTACTAGTTTAAAGTATTTAATTTAGAAAACTGATTTCAGAAGTAGGGTATAGAATTAAAATTCCAGTTCCAAGATCTTATCCGCGGATTGACTAATTACTCAACATATACTTAAAAGATGGATACACTAAGAATCTAGTCTCAGAGCACATATCAAAGTACTGTAAGTATACAAAGCAATGAGCTAAGGGGGGCTATCATATAAGCATCAGAGTTTTCCTGCATCAATCAACACATAATCAATTGCAACCTTCCTCTACGTTGAATTGTATTAGATTATAGCTTCCATTTTCCTCATCAAAAGCTCAAAGTCATCCTGTGTCTTTATAAGGCTCAGTCGCGTGTATCGGCTATCAGCCCCGAAATTTGCACCGCCGCGAGTAATTATGCCTTCCCTCCTTAGAACAGCTTCACAATCTTTATCTTCCTCCATCTCGCACTTCAACCATCCATAAGCTGTATTGATTGAACATATGCACATCAGACTCGTTCAATTTTAATGAAACAGTGGGGACTCACTGTACGCTTCATGGTTTACCTTTAGAATAAGGCTAAACACCGTAAACCCCTCTACCCCTAGCTTTGGCCGCGGCCACTAGAAAAAAAAAAGCTTTCAAAATATCAAAAACTGCACCTTAAGCTTTTAAAATACGAAAGTTAAAGAGGGGTTTTGCGATAATTAATCCCTATACTTAAGGCTGTTTTCTAATATTTTAGAAGTTACGGGTGTTCTCTGATAATCATCCAAAGTTATAAAAGGGAGGTTTCCTGATATTTACCCTTAGAAAAACAGTAGAGTAGTTTACAATCTAATATCTAAACTTTTGGGTTAAAAGTGATTTTTCTTCAGTTACCTGGAGACGGTTCCCTGATCTTTTGAAAGTAAGTACAGTACTGAGGATCAAGTTTCTAAAACGAAAATCAATTGGAAGATGAAACTAGCTTGTTCAGTCTCTTCCACTTCTCTCTCATTGTCTCATACCCAAACATGAAGATGTCTTCTTTCCCTCTTACTTCTTTGAGAATGACTTTGATGATCTTCAACATTCGGAGCTGTGTATCCCGAGATACACCCATCACGCTATATCTCATGTAAGTCAATGCTTTCTTGTAAAGCTTCTCATCCTTCAACAACACCCACCTAAATTTGAGAACAAAATGTTGTATAAAAATTTCTCTTTTGTTGCACCAAAACTTCTAAACCATCAAGATTGATGGTCATAGCATTACATACATGTTAATACAAGTACACTTTTTGTAATAAGTGCCACCCATGGACCAAGAATGGACGACAATAACATGATAGTAAATTACCCTTTTACCCTCGATTTAGTCGGAAGCCAAAATGTAAATTTTTCTCAGAATTAAGGATCAAAAGTAATCAATTGTCACATGATTCTCGAATTACATGTCAATAAAATAAGGTAGTAAGTCGTCCACAATCAAGGTATATACAAGTGCTGAAGTAACCAACTCGATCCCTTTTAAAATATTACTAAGCGCCCAACTTCCCCTCTAAGTAACAATTTGTCTATTATCCGTCTTATGTCATGTGTATGTGTCCAATATGGACATTTTATGAGTTCACAGTCAAATATTTAATAGATTGATGATGTGACAATATTTGTTTGCACGTCTTCCTAGAATTTTATCAGTTTGTCTCCTCTCCAAACCAAAGAATCTTCAACTACTTTCCCAACAAAATTATTGTACTTTTATCCCTTTCTGAAATTGGAAAAACACTATCACATCCTCTATATGTTAAATATTTGAGTATGGACTCACAGAATGGCTCATTAGATAATATAGAAGATGCAACTGACTCGATCCTTACAGCACGGCGATGCATCTATAATTAACCTTAATTGTATTCTGCAAGTGAAAACTGAAATTACCCGAATCTACTACTGGCGTGGCCGGAGGACTTGGAGATGGAGAACATCATGATATCTTCGTCGGCTGGAGCTGGAATAGCAGTGTAATGAGGCCAGTAGTAGCAATGGTCGTAGATGACAGAAGAGCCTCGCAGGACTGAACTTTTAAGGAGTCCGTCGGGGTTGTTTGGTGAAGTCACAAACTCTATGAAGTTTTCATTTGACGAGTTTAGCCATTTTGAGGTTATTCCTTCCCATTCATTCTCTCTTGAATCAAAAATTTCGGTTTGCGTCTTATAAGCCTGTATATTTCATAGGAGATCCTTCAGTTTTACATACTATAGATTTTCAGATAATTACGGAAAAAATCATGCTGAATTAATCATTAGACTGAGAAAACCTCCCTGTATTTAATAAAAAATGGATAAAGCCCTCTAAGATCAGATGATCGCATCATATATATCTGTCTAATGTCAGCTAATAGTTAAGATTGAACTTAATTGGTTTAATCTGAATATATAGTTAGACTTTAATTTCCATCTTGCTTTCTCATCATCCTCTGTCATTTCCTTGTTTTATTTTTAGAACATATTATTAAAAACAAATACAAGCAAGGTTACAAAAAGTGCTAGGCAGCTTAGCGCTGGACCCGATGCCTAGAGCCTAACCAATTTTCCTATATTCTTTTAGTTACAAGAATTAATATTAAAATACTAATGTTATAAAAATCACTAGGGAGCGCTAAGCATTGGACCGGTGCCTAGAGCCTACGTGTATTTCTCTCTTTATTTTAGTGGTGATGGAGGAGGTGAATGAGATGCTCATATTTAGTGGTGGAGGCGGGAGAAGTTTGGAGGAGGCTGGAGGATGGGGACACTATGGCCCATGTGCGCTCCCAAGACCTAGGCAGGGACAACCTAGGTACTGTTGGGACAAACCCTGAGCCTAATAGAGCAGGATCACAGCAATAGTAGAGCAAAAGTGGAGATAAAAAAATTAGACACACAGATTTACATGGTTCGACACTTGATTGCCTACGTCCACGGGCAATGATAGAAGAATCCACTATGAGGAGAAAACTCTTGAATTACAATCTCTCTCTCTCTTTATAAGGAGAAACTCTCTCTATTTTTTTTTCTCTCTCACTCTTCTTATATAAGAAGCTGTTTCTGGGATGAGTTTTTCCTTAAGGATTTTGAGCCTATTTATAGGATTTGGAAAAATACTATGCACAATAAAATATTAATATTTTACTATGTTGTGGGACCCACCATTTTTGTTTTTTTTTCCTCTTCAAACTTTGCTGCTGCTTCTTTCGGTGATTTGATGTGAGGTGGGGCCCGCTCCAATTAATTGTCAACATTTGAGGCTGAGGCTGCATGCTGACAATCTCCTACTTGAAGATTTGATTGAGTATCAATCATATCTTCACAACATTCTTTCTATCTTGCCATCTCTTCATGTTGCTTTGCGTCTCTGTCAGGCCACAAGAGGATCTACACCAAATAAATTTATCAGTATGGACTGCTTTTGTTAAAAAATCAGCTAGGTTGTCTTTGGTGTGAATTTTCTGCATATCCACTGTTCCTTCTTCCACTTTCTCACGAACGAAGTGATACTAAACTCGAATGTGTTTGGTCTTTGAATGAAAAGCTGGATTTCTTGCCAAATGCAAAGCACTCTAACTGTCACAAAATAGAGAAATCTTCTTTTGTTCATAGCCGAGTTCCTCCAGCACCATCTTCAACCACATCGCTTCTTTACTGGCTTGTGTAGCTGCTACATACTCTGCTTCTGTTGTTGAAGTAGTCACACCTGACTGTAGTTTTGAAACCCAGCTTACAGCTCCGTTAGCAAGTGCAAACACATAGCCTGTGGTGGATTTGCTATTATCACGATCACCTGCATAATCAGAATCAACATATCCACTGACAATAAAATCAGATCCCCCATAACATAATGCAACATTTGAGGTTCCCTGAATGTATCTTAGAACTCTCTTTACAGCATTCCAATGCTCTTTACCAGGATTCGCCATGTATCGACTAACCACTTCCACTGCTTGTGCAATGTCTGGTCTTGTACAAATCATCGCGAACATTAAACTTCCCACTGCTGATGCTACAACACTCAAGACATCTCCATCCTCTCTTCTTCACTGCTAGGACTCATACTGGAGGATAACTTGAAATTAACATGAAGTGGGGTGGAAATTGACTTACAATCTTGCATGTTAAAGCGTCGTAAGATTTTCTTCAAATAGTTCTTCTGAGAAAGCCAAATCTTCCTATTAACTCTATCTCGGTAAATTTGCATCCCTAGAATCTTGTTTGCAGATCCTAAATCTTTCATTTCAAATTCCCTAGCCAACCGAGCCTTTAATTCTTTGATACAATCTTTGTTGGGGCCTGCAACCAACATGTCGTCAACATACAATAATAAGATAACAAAGTTATTTTTACCAAACCTCTTAAAATATGCACAAGGGTCTGAATTAAGTTTGTTGTATCCAAGGCTCATGATGAATGAATCAAATCTCTTGTACTTACACCTCGGCGCCTGCTTTAGACCGTATAGAGATTTGTTCAATCTGCAAACCAAGTTCTCTTTTTCTTTTTCTTCAAAACCTTCTGGTTGGAGCATGTAAATTTCTTCTTCAAGATCTCCATGGAGAAATGCTATTTTCACATCTAGTTGCTCTAGATGTAAGTCAAATATAGCGCTCATAGCCAGGACTATTCAGACTGTTGTTAGTCGAACTACAGGAGAAAATATTTCATTAAAATCAATACCTTCTTTCTGAGCATATCCTTTTACCACCAATCTAGCACGATACCGCTCCACTTGATCATCGCCATTTCGCTTGATCTTGTAGACTCATTTGTTTCCAATGGTCTTTCTTCCTTATGGCAGTGACACAAGTTCCCAAGTCTTGTTCTTATGGAGAGTTTCAATTTCTTCCTGCATTGCTGTCATCCACAAAGATGCATCTGTGCTATTTATAGCTTCATGAAAAGTTGATGGCTCTCCATCTTCTGTTAGAAGACAGTATGCAACATTACTCTTCGTAATATATTCCGAGTGCCAAGTCGGTGGTCTTCTCTCACGAGTTGACCTTCGAGTTTCTGGAGCCTCAGACTGGACTGGTTCTTGTACATCATGCTCCGGTGTCGCTTCAAAAGAATTCAGATTATCTTCTACCTGAACAGCTACAATCACTGAGTCCTTCCTCGAACTGCTTTCTTTCTTTTTACTTTGTAGTTGGTTCTCTACAAAGATAACATCTCTGCTAATGATAACCTTGCGGGCAGTGGGATCCCACATGCGATACCCATTTACTCCATCAACATACCCCAAGAATATGCATTTTCTGGATTTTGAATCCAACTTTATAATTTCTTGGGCATTGTACATTACGTACACTGGACTTCCAAATATATGGAGGTTGGAATAGTCAGCTGGTTTGCCAGTCCACATCTCTATCGGCGTCTTCAATTGTATTGTAGTTGATGGAGATCGATTTATCACATAACAGGCGGTTTTTACTGCTTCCGCCCAAAAGATTTTTTCCAGATTTGTAGTAGCCAACATAGCTCTTGTTCTTTCCAATAGAGTTCTGTTCATCCGCTCCGCCACTCCATTTTGTTGAGGAGTATAAGCCGTACTGAATTATCTTTTGATACCTTCTTGCTTGCAGAATGCGAGGAATTCACCGTCTGTATATTCTCCTCCATTATCTAACCTCAAGCACTTGATCTTTTTCTCAGATTCAAGCTCGACCCGCGCTTTGTAGGCTTTAAAGACTGAGAACACATCTGTCTTCTTCTTGATAGGATACACCCAACATCTTCTGGAGTAATCATCAATAAAGGACACAAAGTACTTTTCTCCTCCTAAGGATGTAACTGGTGCTTGCCATACATCAGAATGAACCAGTTCCAGAATAGCCTTGCTTCTAGAATTCGATGTGTTGAACTTCAGTGATGCTGCTTGCTTGTAACACAATGCTCGCAGAATGGAAAAGCTACTGAATTAAGACCATGAAGCAGCTTCTGATCGGAGAGAACCTTCAAGCCTCGTTCTGACATGTGGCCTAGCTTGCGATGCTACATCATGGTTTGTTCTTCTTCACAGCTGGTTGATGCCACACATGAATCAGCTTACTGCAGAGTTTCTCCCTTGAGCATGTATAGATTTGCAGCTATCTTCTCTCCTTTTATCACCACAAGCGCCCCTCTAACAATCTTCATGATCCTATTTTCAATATGGATCTTACACCCAAGCTCATCTAATTGTCCCAAAGACAATAGATTCTTCTTCAAGCCCTTCATATGCCACACATCTTGAATGGTACGTATTATACCATCAAACATTTTGATTTTGATAGTACCAATACCACAAATCTTCAAGGCATGATCATTCCCTATGAATACAGATCCTCCTGAGATAGGTTCATATTTGTGAAACTATTCTCTCCGAGAGGTCATGTGCCAAGAGGCTGCTGAATCTAAAAGCCAGACATCAGCAAACTTCTTTCTGCCTTCATCAATAGTGGTTGCTCCACTGAATAGAATTTCACCATCATCTGACGTGCTGACAACGCATCCTTGAGATGTTGATGGCTCTGAAGACTTTTTATCTCCATTCTTCTTGTTGTGCCAACACTCTGATTTGACGTGTCCTCTTTTGCTATAGTTGTAGCATTTGATATTCTTCTTACTTCGTGATTTCGATCTACTATGGGCATGACTCCCACTGGAGCCTCGTTCCGTTGATCTTCCTCTCGTCACCGACAAGGCCTTCGCTTGCTGCGAACTTGCCCGCCTGTCTTCCTTGTTCTTGCGCCGATTTTCTTCCTCCAGAACAGCGGCTGCAACGTTGTCAAAAACTAGATAGTCCGTGAGGACGTTGTTTGTCAGGTTGATGATGAGTAGATCATACGAGTCAGGTAGACTCTGAAGTAGAAGTTCTGCACGTTCATTCACACCAACTGTATACCCCAACGTTGTGAGTTGGGAGAACAGTGTGTTTAGGGTGTTGATGTGGTCGGTCATCGATGTAGATTCCGCCATCCTCAGAGTGTAAAGTCTCATTTTTAAGAAGATTTTGCTGTGCATGGATTTCGTCTCATATAGCTTTGTTAGAGTATCTCAGATCTCCTTTGCTGTCTTCTTCTCATCTATGCTTGACAACACCCTGTCTGCTAATGCCAGATGGAGATTTGCAATAGCATTTTCATCCATCTCGTTCCATTTCTTATCATCTGTGATGTCGTCCGGCCTTGCACCGATGGCCCCCAGGCAATTATCTTTTCTCAAGATAGCCATTATTTTCAACTTCCACAGTGAGAAATTACTCTCGTCGAATTTCTCGATCTTGAACTTCGCTACCATTGCTTCTACCACGAACAGTAACTTCTTACTATTTCACGTAAATAGTACTGTATTTATGAACAGTAACCGTATCGGTAAATAGTACCGTGCTTGTGAATAGTACCGTATTTGTGAACAGTACCGTACTCATGAATAGTACCCGTCACCTTCAAAGGGTAAATGGTAACCTAACTCATTTTCTGATGTGGAGGATCCACTTTTGGTGGCAGCCACAGAGCATACGATAAGTAGATATATACAAGTACCCTAAATTAGCTCTGATACCACTTGTTGGGACAAACCCTGGGCCTAATAGAGCAGGATCACAACAATAGTAGAGCAAAAGTAGAGATAAAAAAGTTGGACACACAGATTTACGTGGTTCGGCACTTGATTGCCTACGTCCACGGGTAAGGATAGAAGAATCCACTATGAGGAGAAAACTCTGGAGTTACAAACTCTCTCTTTACAAGGAGAAACTCTCTCTATTTTTTTCTCTCTCTCACTCTTCTTATATAAGAAGCTGATTCTGGGATGAGTTTTTCCTTAAGGATTTGGAGCCTTTTTATAGGATTTGAAAAAATATTATGCACAATAAAATGTTAATATTTTACTATGTTGTGGGACCCGCCATTTTTGTTTTCTTTTTCCTCTTCAAACTTTGTTGCTGCTTCTTTCGGTGATTTGAAGTGAGGTGGTGCCCGCTCCAATTAATTGTCAACATTTGAGGCTGAGGCTGCATGCTGACAGGTACTGCCTACTCCTTGTCGGTCACCTAGACATGCTAGACGCTAATTTGTGAAACATTGAGCAAAAGCATGAAAGTCAGCTTAAGCAATCCAATTAAATCAAATTGCACATTATGATCAACATTAATCCTTCCAAGTGCAATTTTTATTATACAGTTTAGAGATGCTAATTGATAGAAAAAATAAATAAAGAATACGTCAAAAGAAGCTCTAAATTCTTCTAGGATACTGATGTAGAACACACTGTGGACATATTTATGGAGAAGCGGGACCGACACAAGCCCAAATGCGGACCTAGTCGAGGAACATAACTTGCAACGAAGAACGGGCCATATCTCTCAAACCGTAAGTCAGAATTGGACGAATTATATACGTAAATACCGTATTTTTTCGAGACGGAGTCAAACAAACCCACCGATGTTCCGTTTGCCACCGTCTGTTCTACAAAATTCCCTTCGGATCGAGAGATGTTAGCGTTTTTGTCAGTTTTTTTACTATTTTAGGTAATGTTTAAGGAGTCTGTTTTGGTAAGGAAGCAAATCCGGTTTGATTCTAAATTTGACCGATTTATTTCCCTAATCCTAGGGAGTCTTTTAGGAAGAGTTTTGTTATTTCTATTTTTGATAAAGTTTGAGTCATAATAGTAGTCTTGTTTATTTTCTATTTAAGCAGAGTATTGTAAATCCTAGAGGCGTTAACTTTTCATCAGTAAAATTTCTCTTTTAATACTTTCTTCGTGGATTCGAAGTTCTTCTCGTAGATCGTTCTTTGTGTATTCAAAGAACATTCCTTGGCGGATTCCGAGCTTATCACTTCCGCGTTGCGTCGGGTACAAGATATATTCTTTTTGAAATTTTCCTTCAATAACGCAAGTGGATAAGAACTTCCAACTCTGAACCATTGTCATGATTTTAAAGTTTAATTTGGTGCAGTGCAGAAGCTTAGCATGATATTAAAACAACATAGATTTAAATCCATCAACAATATATATTTAATGAACCTGAGACATCTATTATTACAGTCAAGCAAGACTAACCGGATAGAAAGGAACAGAAGCTACAACTCTAGCCGGAGAAACCGAGCCATCACCAGCAGAATCTGGTGAAAGTGCATACACAAGCGCGTTAATAAGTTGCATCGATCCAGTGCCAAACACGATAAACCTGCCGTCGACCACTGCATTGCCAACGGCACGGTGGAGGCCGCGGACATGGTTCTCGAGCTCGACGGAGATGAAGTTGCCGCCTGTGGTCCTGTAGGACATCCGGTGCCATCCTGAGACCAGGACTGCGCTGCTTGCTGCATGTCGCTGCCAGTATGGCTCTAGATACACAGGATCACCACTGTTTAAAAAAAAAGAGTAAAGCGCTTAATTAGTAGTCTGATTATACAGATAAATTAATCATATATGTTACATAGAAAAGTACAAGGATGCATTATTGGTGAATGTAGTGATACAATATTCTGATTGCACTGGTCTTATATTAAAGTTGCAATTTTTTATGCATATATGTCATGACCTTTTTCCCCCATTTTTTTTGAATTACATGCTGTATCCTTTTCATTGGAAAGTTTTCTTTGACTAAACAATGTGCCATTAATTAAGAGATTTGGGAATAATTTAAGGGAAAGTTGTTGGTCCGCACTTGAAGAATACAATCGAAAGTATTGTTCGATGTTCCTATGTTCAT